TTAAATATGCTCTATACATTTCTTAAAAACTGGTATAATCCCAAATTAGGTAAATTATTAGAGTGAAATAGCAGTTACTTCATAGATTGTCTTTTATTTATGCATAAACCTCATGAGTCCACAAGTATTTTGACTGTTAAAGTGGAGGCAATCAGTTAGAATTCAAAGGCGGTGTAAAAAGTAGCTTTTTTCATTTCATGTAGGGGTTAAGAGTTTAAAGAAAGAAGTTCTGTTCCTTCTAGTCGACTCTCTAATTCATTCCCTGGGATGCACAATAGATAGACTGCCTTCTGAGAGGTAGGGTCACTCCCTGGTATTTTACAAAGAGCCTCAGGGGGCTTCTCACTCAAAGGACCGCGGGGCAGGTTCCTTGATGCCAGGTGAGAAGTGAGTGTTCAGAAACAGCAGACTCCTCCCTGCCGCCCCTTTTCTCCCAGCTGGGAAAAAACTGTCAAGGGCAGGTAACCTGACACACAGCAGTGAAGTGTCAATTGATCTCTGAAGGCGTCTGATCCATCAAGCACAGTCATTTGATCTTTCCCTTTGGAATAGGTCAGGGCCCTGCCCTCGTACACATACAGAGAAATTACTGCAGGAGGCGGAATGGGTCAGGAATCCCAGGATTATGCTATTACATATTTTGGTTAAAAAAATCTACAGGGTTTTCTTCCTTCCAGTAGGGAGACTTCTACTTTATTTTATTAATGCTGTTACTGAATAGTGCTGTGAAAGAAGTGCATTTATTTAGAAGGGTGCAGAGTTCATCTCAACAAATCTGGACTCAATGTGCCAGACATTGTATCAGGCTCTGGGCTTCCCTGATGCACTAGGGGAGCATGTAGTCTGAAGGGGAAAGAAAAAGGAAACAGGCCACTTCTAAACAATAGGGGAGATTTGAAATACAACATATAATGTACACCCGGGTTAAAAGCTCCCACTAGAGAGGAAGTTACAAGGAAAGGCCAGTACATAGAGCAGTTTCCACGTGGTCCTTGCATGGTGCTAAACAGTTGGTGTTAGAGTTAATGTCTAGCTGAAAAATGGTGAACTCTATAAGTATTACCTTAATAAATCTGAATTAAAAAGCTAATAGCAATATTTTTCTATTAGCAAGACAGACATAAACAAGGCACGTAACTTAAATTTAGTGAGGATAAGTCAACAGTCTGGTATGGAAAATACTTGAGAAGTCTACCAAGGCTACCATTTCATTAAGAGTGCTGTGCAGATGAGAAACCAACTCAGACTCTCCCAGACCTTAGGCTCTGCCCAGCTCCCTGAGAAATGCTGCTTTGGCCACAAAGGAGTAGATTAATTTAGCACCTTTGTGGGAAAACAACTCAAAGGACATTTCTTATCAGCTGTGGCTCAGAGTATCACACGTTGCATGCCAACTATGATTTGTTGCATGTTCCTGTCTTTTACACAGATTGCCTAGTCAGTGGTAAGTAGGACATTAACAACTGTGCCCCCTTTAAAACAAAGGAAGCAGTAATTCTTTTTGCTTTTATAGAAAACATTTAGGGATGTTACTGAATGAATGCCCAGTGAGCATTGACTCAAATAGCATTTGTACAGGTTTTCTGCTACCACCCAAAACTATTTTTGGTGTTTTCTCTTTGGGAGACACATCATTAGAACTAATTGTTGTCTTTGTTTCCTGTTTGGAGGACAGATAATTAGAACTAATTGTTATTTTCCTTCCCTACCCTTTTGCCATCCAATCAGTAAGTCCAGTTGATTATACCTTCCAAATCTTCATTTTTGTTTCCTTCTCTCCATTACCACTGTCACTGTCCTGATTCTAGTCACAACTTGGCCAGACAGCTGTCTTCTAATTCTGATTCTTCACTTGAAAAAATGATCTTTTACTCTAGTGGATGATATAGTAAGAATGAGAAAATAATAATACTAAAATGAGGACCAACTCATTGAGTGCATATTACATACCTGCAACTATACTAAGCACCTTACACGCTTTGGTTCATGTAATTCTTAGAACAGCCCTAAAGGTAGTTAAACAGGGAGAAAACAGAACCCTGGAGGTTAAGCAACTTGTCTAAAGCCACTTGGCTAGTGGTAGATCCCATATATGAACTCTGTCTCCAAAACGTGTGCTACTAGCTAACATACACACTCCCTGCCATATTTGCCGAATTTTCCTTTATATAATAAGGCTCCCTTGAAGTAGTAAACTATGATGTGTGACCTAGGACAATGCTGGGAACATAATCATTCAAGAAGTTTTTGAATGGATAAACTCAAGAACCCCTATGTAGAGGGCAGGAAATTGAGTATTATAATTCTTCATTTTCTAATTCTTCATTTACCCTACAAGTATGAAATGATATTTTTTTTTAGTTAAGCCAGTTTTCCAACTAACTGAAATTAAACCATTAAAGGATAAATTTTCTAAATTTCTATAAAATCTGGCTGAAATGTATTTCTTTTTTGCCTTAGTAGTATGATGATTCTAATTTAATATTATCCTAATGACAAAGAACTATTATTATGGACAATAAATGTTGTCTATGTTGTTTCTTTAGTATTTCCTTCTGGGCTGTGGTTAATTATCATCTATATAATGAGGAAGCCCAAATCTTTTTCTTCAACCAGATTCTCTCCTGACCTTCAGACCCATATCATATCATATCATGTCATATCATTCCTATTATACCATTTGACCCCTGCAGGCTCAAAACTCCCCAAAGACCCCAAAACACCCCCAGGCTCCCAAGTCTGCATCTCCAGGATTCCATATCTTAGTGAAATATGCTACTGTCTACCGAGCTGCCAGCTATAAGCCTGGATATAATATTGGACTCCTCCTTTCCCTTCACTAACCCACCCCCAATCAATCAATAAACAAAAATCCTATTGATTTTAACTTCTAAATATCTCTCAAATCTATCATACTTCTGTGTCTGTCCATTACCTTATCCTGTGATTATTATCTTTGCCTGGATTCTTGTAACAACCTTCTAAATGATGCCCCTACCTATAATTTCACCACATTCTATTTTATTCTCCATACTACAATCAGAGTATATTTTTAAAACTTAATATCTGACCCTGTCACATCTCAGTTTGAAAAATTTCATTAGTTCCTCATTGCTCATGGGATAAGGTTCAAATGTCCTTAATATTGCTTACGAAGCCTTCAATGAATCGGACCCTTTCTTGCCATCCCTGTCTTGACCTGTCCCCTCTCACTGAGCACCCATTAGGTTGTATTGAAGATCTTCCCCTCTATACATTGTGTGTTCTTTTGTGTTTTAGGACTTTGCACTTGATTCTAGGGACTCCCTGACACTACACATAAGACAGGCATCTCTCATATTTACTGCAACAGCATCTATTCCCACTGCACTATTTTGGTCGACTACCTGTTTGTTTCTGTGTGTCCTCTTCTCTCTCCCTCAAGACTATTGGGTCAGGAGGGTGGAACCCATGCCCAACTCATTCATCCTGTATCCCTAGTGCCCACCTTTGTGTCCAGAGCATAGTTAGCACAACAGTTTTAGATTTACAGAAAAGTTACGAAGACAGGACAGAGAGTTCCCTCACACCGGCATCCAGTTTCCCCTATTGTTAACATCTTACATTAATGTTCTACATTTGTCTGGACTCGCACTGAAACTAATTATGAACTGAAATCCATGCTCAGATTTCCTGAGTTTTTAATGTGATGTCCTTTTTCTGTTTGAGGATACAACATTACATTTATTTGTCGTGTCTCCTTAGGCACCTCTTGGCTGTAACAGTTTTCTCAGACTTTCCTTGTTTTTGATGATCTTGAGAGTTTTGAGGAGTAATGGTTAGGTATTTTGTTGAATACCCCTTTATAGCAGTTTGTCTGATATTTTTATCATGATTAAGCTGGGATTATGAGTTTGGAAGAAGAAGACCACAGCAGTAAACTGCCAATTTTTTGTCATCACATCATACCAAGGGTGCATACCATCAACATGACTTATCACTGTGATGTTAATTTGATCGCCTAGCTGAGGCAGTATTTGTCAGATTTCTGTATCATAAATTTACTCATTTTCTCCCTTTCCATGTTGTACTCAAGAAGTCAGTATGTCCAGCCTACCTTTAAAGGGTTAAGAGTTATGATCCACCTACTTGAGGGAAGAATAAATTATTTGGAATTCTTTTTTATACAGGAGATTTTACATTCTCCCCCATTTATTTCTTTATTCAGTCATTTATTTATATGTGTATGAAATCATGGCTATTTATTTTGTTCTTTGGGTAATAATTCAATACTACTTTATTTGTTACTTAAATTGTTCTTTCAGTTGGTGCCTGTGTTTACTTGACATATCCCTAATTGTTTGTCTTTTGAGCATTTCCTTACGTTCTGTCATGGCAATGCCATCTGGTACATCCCCTGTCCCAGCATTAGAATCAGTGATTTCTCCATGGAGCCCTGGTTCCTTTCACTGGAAAATTTATTCAAAACCATGTTCTGGGCAGGAGGGTGAGGGACAGTAACACTTTTGAATTAAAATTTGGATTCGGTTTTAAAAACCATAGAAGTACAAAGGCGAATGTATGTTCCCATCACCCAGAATGAGCAAACATTTTTTCCCTTTATTTTGCTTCACAGAGTTTTAAGAAATAAAATGCTTAAAAAGTGGCAGGGCCTGTGGTGGAGGGCCCCGGGCTCCTCCTGGAGCTTCTGCGCCAGGGCGGAGGCCTGGGCTCCCTGGCCGCTGCCCCCCTGAGCAGGCTGTGCACCCTCCGCACTGCCCGCCTGGCTGGGGAGCCCAGGAGGCATCTCAGGTGGTGCTGTGACTTAGGTGAAAAGAACAACCGAGACTGAGGCCAACAAACCAGGGTTCCGGTCCGTCCGGAAAGAGAGGCAGCAAGGAGCCAAGAGCCAGTGATGAGTTCTCATCCTTTGCCTTCTGTGGGATTCAGAGAGCAGGTGCTGATGGTGGGAACTGACGTGACCAAGGGCCTCTGAGGGTTCAGGGCACTGCAGTGTCGAGATGATCCTTGTCTTTGTACTAAGCATTGGGTCTTTCATAATCTATTTCATCTACTCTTCTGACCCTGTGACAAGCTGTTCTTCATACCAAGACAAAACCATCCCTATTGATTTGGCTTTCAATGCTTCTTTCAGTTTCTAGTTTGGGTTGAGATTTTTGGCAGCTGATGACAAGATCAAGTTCTGGTTGGAGATGAATTCAATTGCAGACATCCTCACCATTCTACCAACCTTTATTTCTTATTATCTGAAGAGTAATTGGCTAGGTCTAAGGTTCCTAAGGGCTTTGCGGCTTCTAGAACTCCCTCAAATCTTACAAATTCTACAAGCCATCAGGACCAGCAATTCCGTGAAGTTTTCCAAACTGTTAGCCATAATTCTTAGTACCTTGTTCACTGCTGCAGGATTCATTCACCTGGTGGAAAATTCTGGTGATCCCTGGCTCAAAGGTAGAAATTCACGGAATATAACATATTTTGAGTCCATTTACCTGGTCATGGCAACAGTGTCAACTATTGACTTTGAAGATGTGGTGGCCAAGACATGCCTAGGATGGACCTTCATCATTTTCTTCACCCTGGGGAGTTTGATACTGTTTGCAAACTATGTCTTTGAAATGGTGGGACTTTTTGCCAACAAGAGAAAATACACCAGTTCCTATAGAGTGGTCAAACGGAAGAAGTTCATCGTGGTGTATGGGAACATCACTGTTGACAGTGTGACTACCTTCCTGAGGAATTTTCTCCACCACAAGTCAGGGGAAATCAACACCGAGATTGTTTTCCTGGGAGAGGTTCCTCCTTCTTTGGAATTGGAAACCATATTTAAATGCTACATGGCCTATACAACTTTTATTTCTGGATCTGCACTGAAATGGGAGGATCTGAGGCAAGTTGCAGTGGACTCTGCAGAAGCATGCTTTATCATAGCCAACCCTTTGTGTAGTGATCCACATGCTGAAGATACTTCAAACATTGTGTGCTCTCTATCAAGAACTATTACCCTCAGACCAGAGTCATCATACTGATACTTCAGTCCCATAACAAGGTTTTCCTACCAAAGATTCCCAGCTGGAACTGGAATGCTGAAGACAACATTATCTGCTTTGCTGAATTAAAGCTCGGATTTATCACCCAAGGCTGTTTGGTGCCAGGCTTGTGCACCTTTCTGACATCTCTATTTGTTGAACAAAACCAAAAGGTTCGTCCTAAAAAGCCCTGGCAAAAATATTTCTGTAACAGCCTGAAGAACAAAATCCTGATTCAGCATCTCTCCGATGACTTTGCTGGAATGAGTTTTCCTGAAGTTTCCCATGGTCTAATATTAAATCCACCTGCAGAAGTTAGGCTGCATAAGAATACATCAGGGTTCTTTATCGCCAAATCTATCAAGGATGTCAAAAGAGCCACCTTTTACTGTGCCACCTGTCACAGTGATGTGTACACTCCTGAGCTTATTGGAAAATGTAGTTGCAAAAGCAAGAATCATCAACATATCACAGATATAACACCGATTAAAAAGAAGAGCAGCCAGAAGGAATTCTCCTCTGCCACACCAAGGGGTTCTTTTCCAAGGGAGCAGTAAAAAATGACGAGCAGCTTGAGCATTGCCACCAGGACTTTTCTGTATGAAACGGAAGACAATTCTGACCAGCTTGACAGCAGTGGCATGTTTCACTGGTGCAAAGCAATCCCTTTGGACAGGGTGATTCTGAAACGAACTGACGAGACAAAATACAAATTTTGAAACCACGTGGTAACATGTGTCTTCAGAGAGGCCCACTCAACGCTAATGGAGCTTCAGAATTTTGTAATGCCCTTGAGAACTAGCAACCATACCCAGCAGGAGCTGAAGAACATTGTGTTCACTAGCTCTCTAGATTACCTGCAGAGAGAATGGCTCTTTCTCCAGAATTTTCCCCAGATATACATTCTGCCTGGGTCTGCACTCTTTCTTGGGGACCTCTGTGCAGTCAGCCTAGAGGAATGTTCCATGTGTGCTGTCATATCCTCGCCATCCATGTCATCGAGCAGCCAGACTTTGGTGGACACAGAGGCCATCATGGCCACCCTCAACGTCGGATCACTGCAGATTAGCTGCTCTGCCCAGACAGAGCCAGAGGGGCTATCACAGCACTCCAGTAAATGTCCTGGGAAATTAAAATACCAAAGAGTCCCCATCCTCACTGAACTGAGAAATCCTTACAGCATCCACTTCATTGAACAGCTTAGTGGGATGGAAGATCACGTCTCAGTAACAAGCCTGCACCTCAGCACTGCCTTTTCCACAAGGCGCTATCTTTTCTGGCAGCTTCTTGGACTCCCTCCTGGCCACAGCCTTCCACAGTTATCACGTTCTGGAATTACTTCAGATGCTGGTAACAGGAGGGATAAGTTCTCAGCTAGAACAACATTTGGATAAGGATTTCTTCTGGCTGACCGAAAGCTGCGCTTCAGTTTTGTCTGGAAGAATGAGGTGTAAGCTGGGGCTTCTGTCCTTAAACCAAATGGTTTTATCAGACATTCAAGTGAGTCTCCTCTTATCATGGATAAAGTTTCCCACTTCCTTAACTCAGAGTGTCTGAAAATTACCCAGGCTGATTTGGTTCCTAGATGGGCAATAGCACATACATAATAACAATCATAGTAACAACAGTTAACACAACCTTGGGCTCATAGCGTGTTTCACAGCCGACAGAGCAGCTCCACATGTTGTGTTTATTTGTTACAACAGTTCCAGGAGTAGATAAAGCAGTGTTTTTTATCCCCATCTTCTGCTTAAAAATCCAGGTCTGCAGGAAGCACCCAAGAGGTCTAATAACTTTGTACCTTAACATGAATATTAATAATAATCGTAATAGCTAATATTTACTGAGCAAAAAAAAAAAAAAAAGTGGCAGGTTGTTTTTCCCCTTCCCAATCCTAAATCCATCCTTCTCCTCCCAAAAACAACCACAATCTTAAATTGATGTGTAGACATTTTTTTCAAGCGTACATAGAATATTTACAGAAACATACGTCAAGGGAAAGACTGGGTTTTATTGGGGCTGAGTTGCGGTGTTGCGGGGCTGTCCTGGCGGTAGCGGTCCCTGCCTGCTGCCGCGGGTCGCACCGTTGGTCCCCCCCGCGAGGCGGCGCCCCTGCGGCCGCTTCCAGCCCCTCTCAAGTCTCTGCTGTGCCTTCCCGCCTCGTCCCGACCTGCTGCTTTGGAGGCAGCCTCTGGTGTCCTCCTGGCTGGGGGAAGAAGACCAGTAGCCTTACACTGTAAACTTGGTGAAAGCAAGTTGTAGACGGAAAAGAGCTAGACGACTGTAAAACTTCGCTGTTTTCTTCACAGTGGCAGCAAAGAAAAAAATGGGGCCGGGAACATATCATTTATTTGTTGGGAGTACGTGGCTCTTCAACGTCTATTTTTTTAGCTTAAAGCCATTACCAGTTGCGTCTAGTTCTTCGTGAGTTTTACTTCTGGAAGGTTACGGCTGCCACATTTAAGACCATCAGAGATCTGCACATCAGGATAGTTAATCTTAGGGTTCTTCATTTTCATTCTTCTGACAAATACTGTTCTTCAAAATATATGAACAATACCCAAAACAGAGAAAAGGGTGACTATTGAAGAAATTGCTCATGATACTAATAATTTCTCCAGCAAGGGACTTAAAATGAAAGTTAGTTGTGTAATTACTAAGTGAAAGGCTTTAGCCACACTCTCCGCTCACCGAGTGGCGTCGCTGTGTGGGCGGTTTGGCTGATAATGTTCTGAGTCCAGAGCAGGTTGTCTGAGTAGTCTTGGGTTTGGGATTTCCAGCTTCATTAACAGTAAACATATCTAATTTCCTCCCACAGCCTACGCTTACTCTGACAAAGGTAAATTTGGAAGAATTACTGGAGGACAGCTTGGGTAATACCGGTATATTCAAACCGTCACAATGAAGCACTTTGTGAGGTGAGTATTTCCAGTTCCTGAAGGAGCTCTCTAAAATGGAGAAACTTCCTTGCCAGTTAGGACAATATTTTTGTCACCATTTGTGATCATGTAATCAGGTATTTCATGATTGCATAAAATAGCACTATATGTGTGGTAAGCATACTGTGGTCACAGGGCTCCTCTACTAACTCTGTATTCATACTGACAACCAAGAGTCTTACAAGTGGGAGGTTACAAGACATGATGGTGTGGGCACAAAAGCATGGGACAGGCATACTTTGAACAGCCGTGATGCCATGTTTTTAAAACCATTAGGCTGAGGTTTGAGGCATTAATATTCAAGGAATAAATATAATTTGCTTAGAACCATTTTCCTGAAATAAGCAATTTTAAATATCTCTTAGTTTAGGTTTTAGTGGGTTGGCCAATCATGCAGGCATTTTCAAATGTTCCTTTTCAGTTAAAAAAGAATACATATATATGTGTGTGTGTGTGTGTGTGTGTGTGTGTGTGTGTGTGTGTGTGTCATATTTATATATGTATCTCTGTTCTAAACTTTTGCCCCTCTTGCCTTAGTGATGCCTCTGTTTTAATTGTTGGTTCTCTGAAGATTGTGCTTTATAGAGTACCATACATGTTCGTGTTTTGGGGTGATCTTGTTTTGTTTTGATAGCCATTTGGTAGGCCTGTAGTTGCAATTATTTTGAAGATAAAACTGCCATTTAGAGTTCTAGTCATGAAATTCTCAGAGAAATTTTATATCATATTAAAATAGGCCAAAATAAAGTTAATCAGGTCCTGAAAGTTAGAAAATAACCCATTCTCTAAGAAACTTTCTCTCAAGATGGTGGCTTACCACTATTACACATTGTTGCCCCTTGCTCTGGCTGTTTTCTCTAAGCAAATAATTAGTGGACTTGCTTTCTTTTAAGGAAACAATTGAATTCTTTCAGTGGCTGCAATTGAAGGTTTTCTTTTCCCCACTAGTTTTGGTTGCATGGTTGTCTAGAGCACCTAAATCAGTTTGTGTGGGATTCACTGTTTTGGTGTAGCTACGGGTATTCACTGGATCCTAAAATTGTGAAAACCTCTTAGTAAGTCACGATTAAACCATTTACAGGTATTAGCACTTGTTTTATTGTACAGAATACTCCTGAGCCTGTTTATCTCATATGTGTAAATGTACTAACCATGTGAAAAAATCACTAGGACGTTTGCCAGTGAAATATTTGAACTGATATGATTTTGGTTGCCATAGTAGTGAACCCATATATTCACACATTCATGAAAAATTGGTATTTATAAATCCCTCCTGAATGTAAGCATAGTGTCTTTTAACTATAGAATCGTGTTAACAGAAAGCTTTAGCATGATATGAAGCTTAAAAGTCCCAAACTCTTTCTTTAAAAGAGGAGATAGTAATGGTTAAGGTTTGTGCTAAGACTTGTACTACTGGATTTCTTCTTCAATATCTTCCTTGTTTCTGAAAAACTTTAGTAGCCTCAAAGTCTGCCATTTTAGGAGAAATGGTAGTATTTGTTTCTGTTACTTTTCTGTTAAATGGGATAGGTGCAACACTGTGTTTAGTAGAGATTATAACATTTTAAAATTAATTTGTACTTGATTGTAACTGGTATGGTGAATATCTACATGTGATTTCACACAGCCTAGCACTAAGGATAATCTAACCAGCACATTTTGAATAGTGTGTGTTCTGATACAAATTCTTCCCTTTTAACTTGGCACATATATTTTATAATACTACTTGACATTGATTATTTGTGTGAAAATGAAGTAAGATAATAGATTACACATCAAGAAAGAAACCTGAGGATTTTCATTGACCATTGGTTTTGAAATAATAAAAGAAAACTCAGTCATTGCCCCTCCTTAGTTGATTATTGCTTTTGACTTTAGTTTTTGTCTTTAATGCTTTTATTAAGTTATATGTGTGTGTGTGACCTATATGTTACTGTCTATGGAATTTGGAAGGATAAGAGGATAAGGAGTAATAATCTTGCACTACAAACTCTATCAGATAATTTAGATTGCCTTTTATATCCTGTAGTCCACTCCCACTGATGTCAGACAGTTTTGGCTATGTTTTCATTTAAACCAAAGAGAAGGTTATGTAAATATAGCCTGAATAAATTAGGTGTTAATTCTTGAGCTCAGCAAATACATTATGCAGAATAAGGAGTTGACTTTCACTGAGAAGATTTCAGCATTATTTAAAAGCCCAGAGTTATTAACCTGTCAACTTCTGAGATGCATTAGAATGAAATGCTCCATATACAGCTCCAGATGAAATAAAGTTAATCTTAAAGAAACCAGGTTGTGAGAAAGAATAGCTTTTAATCCGCATTTAAAGTACATCATATCCACACTCTGCTCTCTAGCTCCCTGCTACCATTGGATATATGAGTGCCTGTAATTACTTAGCACATAAGGAGTGGAAAAAATATTTGATGTTTAAAAAACATTACATAAATATTAGACAAATGCTACAGAATTAGTACACCCAGCTGAAGGGTGTATTTTAAATTGAGAGTGGATTTGGGGTATTGGATAGGTACCCCACAGTCACCCAATATGACATAAGCCATGGTCTGCATTGAAAGAACACAAGGGATAAAAGGAGAAGAAGTGCATCTGTCTGTGATCAGAAAAAAAGGGAGCACTTTTTGAGTCCCAAGTCTTACAGTTTAGTTTGTATAATATATTTTATTAATTTTATTTCAATTAAATCAGTGACATGCTACAGGCATTTTGTGACAAGAGTATTCAGGGAAGGCTTCACTAAGATGAAGTTGAGGGGAAGGGAAGACTAGGATGTTAATATTTTTAACTAAGAAGTGAGAGGGTGGGAGGTAGAGAAGATGTTGTGAACAAAGCCTGGGAAAGTATGCCTGGCTGCCACAGCAACAGATGGCCCAGGTTTGTTGGCTGTAGACCCTGTTGAGGGTAAGTAGAGGATAAGTCACACAGATAAAGTTGGGGACATATCTTGGATACCTTCACAAACACAGCATAAAATGGCCCAAAAGCACGGGAACATTTTCACCCAGACCTGAAGTGGACCTTAAAGAGAAGTGAGAGCCAAACGAAAAATCTTTTTCCCTTGCAGCACATATCTACCCTTCTCTTAGCACCAGAACTGTAGCCCATTCCCACCACCTTACAATTGTAAGAGAAGCAGGGTAGCTTGTCAAAGTCACACAGCTCATGGTAGCAAACTGAGCCTGGACTTGAAGTCAGACTTCCAGAGACACTACACTATTTAATCAGGAAATATTTCCATTCAGCACCAACTAATTTCTATTGCTTTTGCAGGGCAGAAGGTGCAGGGTCCTGTAAGTGCCCCAGAATTTGATTAACATCACTTGAGACATTGACTGAGCTTATGAGAATGGGAAGGTTTATGGCACATCCAAAAACCTCTTTCACTGCAGGTTGGTACTTTGAGCCACAGTTTTCTGTTTTTTAGGATACATGCACACTTATACACATGTGTTTGTATACATACATAAATATACATCTATACACAGATATATCTGTGTATATATACACATATGCACAAACACATCCACATCCACATACATCTACATATAGATATATTTTAAATAATTTCATTCCCTGCATTAAAAGAAACAAAAACTGTTTCCACACCTTTGCTGAAACATGTTAACCTGAATAGTTTCTGGGCATTTTCCTGTAGGTGACCTCACCAGGGCTTGCCCATTGCCACCTCACTGTTCACTAAGCCGTTTCTACTAGAGCATGAGTGAGCAAGATAAATGAAAGCCATGGGTGCTCAATAATGTTGGTTTGAATTTCATTCATTTAACTATTTTATTTTCCCTTGTGTTCTGAAGTTAGGCATCCTGATTGTTCACGTTGTACCTGTCTCTTTGTTAGGATAACCAAGAGTTGGCTTTATTATCTAATCACAGAGGAAGGTACTTTCTCTCTGCCTAAAACTGTGTGATTTCTTTTGTAGAATTATCACATTGGTTTTCTGTTTATTGTTTTTATTGTCATTTTCCTTACTAGACTAGGTTCCTTGTGGACAGGGAAGGCATGTGGTTTGCAGAGCAGTTAAGTTCTTGAGTCGTATTCACTTCTTCCCTGTGCATTAATCTCTGCTCTTTTTGCCAGTCTTTTCATTTTGTATTTGTGCACTACAGTGAAGGAATAAGTAAACTACCTCTCGATGATTATTTCTATTTTTCCCCAAATTCATTTCAAAACTGTTTCCTTCAGCTACTCTAGGTCTTTAACTCAACAGAAATTCATTTATTCATAATATTGTAAATATCTGCTAACCTGGGACTGGTGGTTTTCTTTTTTTTTTTTTTTAGA